TGGTTTCTCCCCATTGTGAGACATTGTAGATGTATAAAATTAGGACTCAGCAACAAAATTTTTCCACAAGGCTGACATGCATCATTTCTCTCCACTGTCAATTCTTTCAAGTCTTTGACAGTGTTTATGTGTAGTTAATCCTTCCCACATTGCTAAGATTGGATTTCTACAGTGTGACTTCTTTCATAGCTTTGACAGGTACTGTGGCTGCTGAATGCTTTAAATATTACTTACATACATAGGGTTTCTGCCCACAGTTGCTTTGTCTATGTGTATGAAATGCATATGTGTTAGAAAATCCTTTTCCACATTGCTCACATATATAAGGTTTCTCTGTAGTATGAGTTCTTTCATGTCTATGACAACATTTATGTGTAGTGAATGCCTTCCCACACTGCTTACATATATAGGGTTTCTCCCCAGTGTGAATTCTTTCATGGTCTTGACAGGAACTATGTGTGGTGAATGCTTTTCCACATTGTTTACATACATAGGGTTTCTCCCCACTGTGAGTACTTTCATGTACTAGACAATTACTGTGAGTGCTGAATGCTTTTCCACACTGGATACATACATAGGGTTTCTCACCAGTGTGGGTTCGTCTATGTACACGAAATGCACACTTCTGTCTAAATCCTTTTCCACATTGCTTACATACATAGGGTTTTTCACCCGTGTGAGTTCTTTGATGTATTTGATAATAAACTTTTTTAGTGAATGCTTTCCCACATTGCTTACACACATAAGGTTTCTCCACACTATGACTACTTTCATGGCTTTGACAGTTGCTGTACGTACTGAATGCTTTCCCACATTGCTTGCATACATACGGTTTTTCCCCAGTATGAATTCTTTCATGTATTTTACAGGAACTCTGTGTGTTGAATGCTTTTCCACAATGTTTACATATATAAGGTTTCTCTCCGGTGTGAATTCTTTCATGTATTTTACAGGAACTCTGCTTGTTGAATGCTTTCCCACAGTATTTACATATATAGGGTTTCTCTCCAGTGTGATTTCTTTCATGCACTTTACAATAACTCTGTGTATTAAAAGTTTTCCCACATAGTTTACATGCATACAGTTTTCCCATGTGACTTCTTTCATGTATTTTACAATAACTCTGTGTAGTGAATGCTTTTCCACATTGCTTACATGCATAGAGTTTCTGGTCAGTGTGATTTCTTTCATGTATTTTACAATACCTCTGTGTAGTGAATGATTTCCCACATTGCTTGCACACATAGGGTTTCTCCCTAGTGTGAATTCTTTCATGCATTTTACAATTTCTCTGTGTAATGAATGCTTTTCCACATTGCTTGCATGCAAAGGGCTTCTCTCTAGTGTGAATTCTTTCATGCATTTTACAATTACTCTGTGTAGTAAATGCTTTCCCACACTGCTTACATGCATAGGGTCTCTCTCCCCTGTGAAACTTTTCATGAATTTTATAATAACTTTGAGTGTTGAAGGTTTTCCCACATTGTTTGCATTCATATGATTTCTTCTCAGTGTGAATTCTTACATGTATTTGGTAATGGCTGGAAGTTATAAATGCTTTTCCACATTGCTTACATATATAGGGCTTCTCCCCAGTGTGAACTACTTCATGTCTATGAAAGGAATTACTATAAGCTAATGCTTTTACATGTTCCTTATATACACTGGACTTCTCTCCCACATGTCGTCTTTCACGTCCTTGAAAAAGGTGTGAAGAATTAAAATCTTTCCCACATAGTTTCCACATGTATGGTTTCCAATCACTGTGATTTCCTTCATGGATTTGATCACTGCTGGGGATGCTGGAGGCTTCCAACCTCTTCTTACCTACAAAGGTCTTTTCTCCAGGGTGAGTTCTTGCTCTAAGTTTCAAGCAGGTTTTTCCAAATTGCTCATATTGATACAGTTTTTCTCCAGTCTTTCTCCTTGAATGATTCTGAAAGGACTGGAGATCACTGAAGATTTTTCCATGTTCATTCCATTTACTCAGTTTTTCATCAAATGCAAAATACTTATTTGGTTTCATTCCAGTCTGAGAGAAAATCGGCACATTTAGTGATAAATGCCCAATTCGGGAATTTCTACAAGCATGGCTTTCAGTTGGCTTTAAAGGAACTTGTTGCATGTCTACATTGGCACCTGTAGTCCAAAAGACTGTTTTTTTATGTTGATTCCATGCTTTATATTGACTGCTTTCTGATACGCCTTTATTGCTGTAAACAAAAACCACAAATATCAATCACAGTAAAAATTTATCCATATCAACAGTTTACTGGGATAAATTCTGGCTTGATGCCTGCTAAGACATTTTGGCTGAAAGCCATGAAAGATGTCACCAAAACACTCATCTATCAAATGAAGGTATTCATTTGGGAATTTTAAATTGATGTATGTTTGCCATATATAAGGTATAATTTCGTTTAGGTCATTGATACATATTGATAAGTTTTGACCCATTTGTCCCATTACTCTCGCCATTTCTTCTATCCTGGTCATCTTTCTTTTTTATTTTAATAATTTTATTGAGAAAGAAGTAGCAATGAGATAGTTTCAAAATAGGTTAGTAGTATAGTTACAATAATTGATATATTACATATTGTAATCTTCAACAAATAAATCTTTCTGTTCTCTATCACTTCTTAATTTTACTCCCTAATACATATTTTGGTATTTCTTACAGAAGAAAAAGTGATATAGTTCATTTTCTGTATTTGAATTATTTCTTTTAACATAATGAGATAGATTACCAACTATATTTTTTTGGATAAGACATGATATTCTCTTTATGGCTTAATATATTGTACATTTTTTTTCAGTGATGAGAATTAAACAATCAATGGTCTTAGAACTAAATTACATTTCCAGTTTTTTTTTATTTTTTAATTTGAGAGGAATTCTCATAGATCATTAATTTGCAAAGGGATAACTTCATGGTGTCATCCTGCTGGCTCACCTTACCAGAGTGCTGGGATTATAAGAAGGCTCCACCATGCTGAGCCTGTCCCATATGTTCTTTATCCATGCATGCAATGATGGACATTCAGGCTTAGTTTACATATTATGAAATATTTCCAGAGCTTAGCTATTGTGAGTATCCATTCATAACCTGCTTTGGACAGAAGTATGCACATATCATTAACATATGATAATTGTAAAGCCTCAGGATATCCATATGGAGGTTTTCTTTCTTTTCTTTTCTTTTTTTCCAGAACTAGGGACTGAACTCAGGCCCTTGTGCTTGCCAGGGAAGTGCTTATTCTACTGAGCTATCTCCCCAGCCCCTGAAGGTTTTCTTGGATCAAATACAAAAAGCTATTTTTTACTTTTTGAGACATTTGTATATTACCAAATGTTTCTATTTTTATATTCTTATGAACAATATGCAAGGTTGCTTTTCTAAGAAATTTAAAACATGAATACATCCAACTCTCTGGAGATTGTTTTGAAAACATATAATATTATGCTATTCATTTGCATTTTGATGGTTAGCAATTTTTTATATAATGTAAGTCTCTTTCATATATTCAAGTGTGCAGATAACTTGAAGATTAATTTCTATCAATCAAAGTCCAAAATTTGCTGTTTCCAGCTATGCCAACACATAATAAATAAAAGCAATTTCATATACTTTTCAAAATATTCATCATAAAATAAATTTTTATACCAATGTATGGGATAATATCTCTTGTATAATATCATTACAAACTTAGTTTCCTATATTAGACTATTGCTTTATTCAATTAATTGATTATAAAAAATTAACATATGGTCATATCTGGAAAATCATTTGTGAGATAAATTTGAACATGGCTGTATGTGTAGTTTCCTCAGGTGTAATATTTCTTTTTATACAATGACACTTAGGGAATATTTCTTTCACTTATGAATGCAAATTACCTTAGATTTGAGCAATTTTTGTATTCTTCATCAATTTGCTGGTTGTCCAAACACCTTCCTGAATTGTAGCCATAAAAATAGAAAACATAACCATGTCAATATAAAGTGGTATAATGTAAACAGGCCTGAGCTATTCCTCTAAATGTTTTTACAGTCAATTTAATATATCTGTACTAATGAGCAAGGACCAAGGCTCTCTCATTGTATAAACAAGAAAATGTTGCCTTCCTTACCTACAGCAGTCATATTCATAAATGTTTCCCACATAACATCTCTGTAGAGCTTCTTTTGAGATGGATTCAGTACAGCCCACTCCTCTGTGGTGAAGTTCACAGCTACATCCTCAAAGGTCACTGCCTCCTAAATAATCACACATATAAAGGCTCAGACTTTATTAAAGGCTCAGACTCAGACCCTGAGATATCTCAGGCTCAGAGATTAAAGGTCGGCCTTTAATCACGCATTAAAGGCTCAGACTCAGACCCTGAGATTCTGAACTCCTCTTATAAAAGCTGAATTTGAAGTTGATACCATCAAATATTAATTCCATGTCTTGGTCACCAAACCTAAGTGCATTCAGATATTTTCACACTGCAATTTGGATACTGGTTTGGAATTCACTGATGTAGTTACAGTAGAATAATACAACTGCTTTTCTGGCTGGCTCACAGAAATTATATTTATGTGGTGTTTCTAGTTCAGAGGTCATGGAAGAGACCTGAAAATTGCCATTCACAATATGCAGGGCCATGTCAATGTCTAATGAATAGTTCTGATAAACAGTTGTTTATATCTTTTCAAATCTGATTAAGTCATTCTTTCTTTTATTGTACTTAGACAGAATTTTGAAATGAATATGGTTTTATAGAAAAAATAATTTAATATTAAATGTGGCTTATGAATAATAAAAATGCTAGTGAAAAAAACCACTTATTGGAGCAAGTCTATTCACAATGAAAAGGGGGAATGATGGTAACTCATAGCTGACAGACTCCAGAGGATCAGCTTGCGTTCAGATACAAGAAATTCTATGATCATCTATGGGTGATTAATGAGGGGAAGAACATGAATGAAGTATATTAAATGCATAAAACTATGATATCTCAAAATAATTAGATACTAAGTACAAAAGGAAATCTATATCTGGGTATGGCTGTACATGCCTCTAAGCCCAGTATTTCGGAGGTTGATGTAGAAGGATTATGAGGAGTTCAAATTCCAGCCTCAGCTATTTAGTAATTTCAAGGTCAGTTTAGATTGCAAATTATCAATAACAAATTCAGATTCATTTATAACCATTTGTCTGCCTTCAAATAGGAAATGTTGAGACAAAATTCCAAGATGAGGCAGCAATAATCAAGCACAGTTGCAAATGTGAGTCCTCCAGATTCCCAGCAAATAGTAGCCAAACTCTATATTGACAATCAGCAGAACAGGTCAGACCATCAGAGAAAGAGAGAACAAGAATGAGAGCTGATCAATGTCTGGACACCTGGTTTAGAGAGAAAACACTATCACTACCTGCAAATTCTAGGTGGAAACTGATGACAATAAATTAAATAGAAAGCTGTATAAAAAGCCAAATTAATCTAGCATTGACAGAATAAAACTTGATGACAGTATATTAATTTGTTAATATTCAATTTGTGCCTCAAAGTAAGTAAAGCTTACACTGATCAGTGATGACACAAAGCGAAATTCTCTAAAAAAAGAACTGAGTTAAAATATGTTCCACTAAACATTTTTCAAACTACATAACACAGAAACGTGAGGACAAAATTATTTTTATGCAACTATGTCTAAGGATTTCAAACAACTCCATCAGTATTTGACAGCTGAAGAAGGCAGAAAAGTCTCTAATGTAACGATTAAAATTAATGTATTTCAAGGCTCAGCCAGATAGCTCAGCAGACCAAAGCACTTGGATAGCAGAGCACAGCGGCCAAGGTTCGATCTCTGGTCTGTTGTGCTGGCCTGTGCCCCTGGGGGTGTGCAGGGACAGCGACTGAGACAGAGTGTGGCGGTACATGCCTGTAATCCCAGCACTTGGGAAGCTGAAAAAAGGAGAATCGCTACAAGTCTGATCTGTGTAGTAAGTCCCTGTAGAGCCTGTACTAAATACATAAAAAATAAAACTAATGTATTTCAAAAGTATTAATAGGTTATTCGGTAATGTTTTTATCATGGAACTGCATAGTGTACAGTCTTCTCAAAACCTCAAGAAATATTCACCCTTAGGCAATTTTCAGATTTAAAAATAAATGTCTTCTAAGAAACAGAAATCATACAAAGGAAGCTCTTATACTCAATTGGAAAAAAAATAAAAATGAGTCACAGAAACATGTTTAGAATACTCCATGAAGTAAAGATTAAATTATACATTTTTATATGACACATTTCAAATGGAAATGTTGATTCAATATTAAAGATTTTATAATATATGAAAGTGAATTCACATATTAAAATTGTTTCAGAGAGGGGCTTAGTGGATAGCTTAATGGACTAAAGTGCCTGCTTAGGCAAGCTTAGGCAAGCCTATGAACCGTGGTTCAATCCCCAGCACCACATGCCAGGCCAGCCCTACCCCCAGGTGGGCTGAGCCGGTCACAGAGTCCGGGCGTAGTGGTGCACGCGTGAGCATGCCTGTAATCCCAGTGCTGGGGAGGCTGAAAACAGGAGGATCACTATAAGTCCGGACTGAGTAGTGAGACTCTGTAACAACCAAATACATTAATAATAATAATAATAATAATAATAATAATAATAATTGTTTCAGAGACTCAGAAATGAGTGCTTCAAAAATAAGAAAGAATACTGAGAGTACATATTAGAAAAGAATAAAGATATCAATTCAAAATATTATAGAAAAAAACAACAGCAACATATAAATGAAAATCACTCCACAATAGGATATGTCAGTCATTGCTAAATACTCACAGATTATAAATGAAAGCAGAAGAAATAATTGAATGCATCAAAGCGGTTACTGAAAACCTAACTTACGCCATTACAATAAAATCTAGAGCACAAATCTTAAAATTACATTAGTGGATATAGAAAAAAAAACACAAAAAAGAACAAAAACTGTAGGAAGAGTTTAAGATGAAACACAAAAAAACGGTTTTCACTTGCATGTAACATCAAAATACATTTTGGAAAAATTAAAGGGTCAATAAATGATTAATAGAATAAGCTATTGTACCAGAGTATATATTCATAGCTAAAGGTACAAAAATTTTCCATGTAAATAAAAGTCAGGTATAAACAAGTGGATTGGAAATTGTAAACATTACACATTTTGAAACCACGGTGATAACAGGTCACAAATGTTAAAACCACATCTGAAAGTATTGTAATAGGCCCAACATAAAGCTATAAAATATATTAAATTGAGAACTATAAAATATTCCATATATTGCCAAAGCAAAGTACACATCTGAAAGAATTATATTCATAATATAATATTCCTGTAAAGCATATATATTAATATAATCCTTTACAGATTAATATATAAAATTAAATTAAAATTAATATATAAAACTGTACAAAGTTTAAAACTTGTATCATCTTCAGACTAGTATTTTCATATTCTCTCAAAAATATTTTCCCACAAAAATTCTGATTTGAATCTTGGATCGGCAAAGCATTTAAATAGAACATCATAAAAAAAATTCTGATTTATGGGCTGGGGAGATAGCTCAGTGGTCTAAGCGCTTGCCTAGCAAGTGCAAGGACCTAAATTCAATTCCTGGTACCACACGCCATGCAGGCTCCAGAAAGCTGGGCATGCCATGCCTTGCCAGCCCCAAGGCAAGAGTGGCAGCTTTCAGCTGTTTTCCACTTGGTATCCCACTGATCTCTGGTTCATCATAGTTGTGCTTTATTTGATTGAAAGATTTCTACGCCTATTTTCTTCAGAATTTTAAAAAATGCATTTTTAATTTTCAAATGTTTTTTCTTCATCAAATGAGCTGATCATGTGATTTTTTCTTGATACAGAGTCTTGCTACACCATTCAAACTCATAGTGATCCTCCTGTCTCAGCTTCCCATACAACCTACCATCAAGAAATGTCACACAACTGTCAGTGAGCCATATAGGGTGGCTTTCAGCAGCAAACTGGGAGCTTCTGACTTGGGTTCCTGACAGAGGAAGGGTCCTCTCTCTGGACAGTCTGCCTGCTAGGACAGTCCACAGGTACTGAACTTTCTTCACTGATGCCTAGATTTCATGCCTTCTGAGCTAAAAAGGACAAGAGAAAATATACACTCCCTCTTTGAAAGGAACACAAATGATAGAGTAAAACCAAAGCCTTTTCTAACACAGCCTTCCTCCTAGGATATTGCCTTCATCCAGCATGACAGATCACAGCATTTGCGCTATCCAACATGTTCAGAGTTGCCTCTGTCTTCTTACTGTACTCAATGGACCCTTCCTGAATGTTGTCCCTGAAAGTCAGTTCCTAAGTTACTCTTTCACTTGAGCCTCAATATTTCATGGAGAAAATTCCAAAGTGCAAAGAGGAACTGGGCCACAAGCCAGGGTAGGACACAGTGGAATAGAAAAAAAGATTAGAATTTGTCAAGGGATTAAAATTTAAATGAGACTTCTCTGACCTTATCTATTTTCAGAAAAGAACACTAAAATGTACGAAAAAGAATATAATTATTCAATACACAAAAAACCTGGCATATGCTATGATATTTTGTAAAATGAATCAAGATGTAAGAAAAGGGAATATTTCAACTAACTCAGGCAAGGAACTTACTTCATCCAAGATCATTAAAAAAGAATCTGAATTCTAAGTACTGACCTGTTCCTTTCCAGGCAAACCAGAATGATTGTTGAAAGGCATTGCAACACACAATCACTTCCTCATGATTAGGCATAATCTCTAAGCTCTTCACAAAGTGTACTCTCTCTATAGCATACGTTCCACACCTTATGATTTGAAAGTCATCTTTCAACTCATTAATTTCATCATCACAAGAGCTGAACTAGATCCTCTGACAGGTTATCTTGAGAATAAGCCTAAATGGTGGGAGAGATGCCAAGCATAATAGGAAGGCATGCCTAAGTGAATGAACACAAAAGCCATGTCGATGTGAGATTTCTTGCTATAAATTCTCACAGTCCACAGCCCTTCTACAGCTGTTCTACACACAATCCCCTACCCCACCCACCCCACCCCACCCCAAAAAATGGTTTGCAGCTCAGGGTGCAAAAAGTACATTGACATTCCTTTGCTTGTCACTGTGGGCCTAAGCTTAAAGTCACTGACCTTAAGCTCCTGTGGCTAAGAACACACTATTCATCT